TTTATTAAATTAAGGAATGTCAAGATTTTTCACATTATCGGATTTCAAATATTTTATTCAAATACTACTTCTTCAAATTCAACGATTTTCAAAAACTTCAATAGTATTGGAGGGTTATTTGGGATACCATTTGTATTTTGTTATTGCAAAATAGGCGTAATCCCAGTTTGGACAAATTTATGACATTGCCCACCAAGGGATAAGGCAAAACTTTAAGAAAAGTTTTTTTTTTAATTTTCATTTGAATTCCAAAAGAATTTTAAAATATTTTCAATTCTTTACAGAAAACATCCTGGCAGGAATTTGTTGTGACGAAAACCCTATGGTTTTTGTAATGATCGGTTAATATTTAGGGGAAGAAATGGACCAAAAACATTATTTTTGTCTCTTTTTTCGATCGCTCTAGCGGCCAAAATTATAACCCTAACATTACGCAGAGAGATAGGTCTGACCATAGAATAACCATGACAGTTTTAATTATGATCTGTCAAAGTTTAGCGACACTTTTGTGTGAAAAAATAGATAATTTGTATTCTTTGGCGAATTATATTTACTTTTGAAGGATATATACTAGAGGAGTGGTTGACCTTTAAATTGATACCATATTGTATGATACATATTGTATTGATATTCTATGTGGGAGTTATATGTAAATATTTACAGAGATTTACCTATTGTCATTATTATTGCCAATGTTATGGTCAAGGACAACGCACAGTGGGAAAAAATGCAGATCAAGCGTATGTTTATCGATATTTTGGGTAAGAATAGATTTAGATGGACAATTTTAATTATTTTATTAACAAATTTGGTAATTTTTTGTTTTATTAACCCACTAAGTGCCGATTTTTTTTTTTAGAATAAAATTAAATTTTTAGGTGAAAATTACTATTTTGAAGCTTTTCAAATATTTTTTAATAAGCAACATTTTTTGTTATAACTAATAGTACTCCTAAAATGGGAGCTTCTTTCAAAAATTCCGAAACATTTGGAGGGTAAAAAGTGGGTTAAGGGCAAACACTATTGTTATTATATATATATATATATATATATCTTTATTACTGTTAACATTATATATCTAAAACATTAAATTATATATATTTTATAAAATTTAGGCATTACTTATTAAATACTAATCACATTCAGAATCCGAGTTTTGATCTGAATTAGTTGGTAGCATTGGATCCTCCAGTAGCTTAAGGACTTCTTCAGATATTGGCTAACTATATCGATGGTTAAGAGATGTACCACGAGACAACCTTGATATTTTTGGATCAGAAGAAAATAGCAAACTATTGAAAAGATCCCTCGTGGTTTCCTCACGACTCTTTTTTCTGGTGTACAGTTCCCTGTAGTTCCGAAAGTCCTTATTTCTGGATTCCATGGCTTCTTCAGACAACATTCCTATGGGCAAAACTGCACATTTAATTATATCAACTCCATGCCCTAATATTTTGTGTATGCTTGAAGGCATATAGAACCAAGGATATAATTCCATGAAAAGAATAGTAGTCAATAAGTTTTTTAAATGACTCTACGTTAATAGCATATTCACAGGCCATGGTTGAATGGATGATACTACAATTTTTTATTAATTGTTCACCAACACTAGTTATCGACGATGCCAAGCCAGGTTGGCTAAAAAAGCCGCCTAGCAGTATTGCCATCGTTTGTTGTTCCGTATACTGGCTTAGGTGTTTCAACAATAATTTGCATTTCTTCCTTCAAATCGTTAATGATACGTGCCTTCTTTTCTTCGAAAAGTGACCGATCGGAGCTATTAAGTTTTGACTTTTTCAAAACTAGTCTGTATGAAATGTGCAAATTTACATTCTAAACATCGAATCCTTGCATGTAAGGTAGACATGCCGTATTCGTATAAGTTGATGTTTGGTGTTAATGACGAAATTTTGTTGTAATCATTCATTACTTTTGGTGTTGCACCGTAAATTCCACATGATTGGGTAGTTGATATTATTTCAGGGTTCATAAAGTAGACCCTTTATCTGCGGTATTTGAGAAGACTCTTACAACCGATTTCGTTGTAATTTCAATTTTTTTCAGTGCATTAGTTTAAAATCAATGTTTGAGGAAGCTTATTTAAATACCCTTATTTTCATACGCACACCCATTACTCTGGAGCCTTAGGACGGACATTTTGATCTTATTTTTTTCTTATCTGCTATGCCGTGATCTATTCCAACTGGAGCATTAGGACGGACATTTTGATCTTATTTTTTTCTTATCTGCTATGCCGTGATCTATTCCAACTCATATTTGATCTGTTTTGGTCGGACAATATTCAGCGGGTCAAATCAACCAAGTCCTTTCTGTGTAAAATTAAAAAAAGTTGGTGTTCCGACTATACTGTTCCGCTCACTGGTTTTAATTTCGTTTGCAACACCTTGAAATATTCACCGGAGACCCCACAAAGTATATATATCAAAATACGCATGTCCATCTGTGTGTTGAAATCACGATAGAGATTGCATTATTTAAGATAAAACTATAAAATTTTGCACAGACATTGCTAGTACTCCTAAGATGTTAGGTATTGCAAATGGGATGTATCGGTCCACGTTTTAGTTTCACGGTATCCCCCATATAACGGTACCTCCAGTATTCGGTATTTTGGAAATTTTGGACACGTTTTCCAACAATCTTGGCTATCATTTTGTATTTTGGTTTCTCATTGTATAGCACATCTCCATTCCAAATATTATTAATACTGACCCAAGTTTCAGGATATCCCCATAAAACGGTACCCCAATATTCCAGGGATTTTGGATACGATTTTCCACCGAATTGGCTGTAATTTGGTATTTTGGATTATCATTGAATAACACATATCCATACCAAAAAAATGTTATATTGACCCAAGCTTCAGGGTAGCCGCCATATAACGGTAACCCGTTATATGAGTTCTCTTTCTATATCACATTTCCGTACAAACAATTTTTAATATTGAGCCACGTTTAAAGATTTGTAATTTTGGGTTCTCATTGAATAACACATATCCGTAACAAAAATGTTTAATATAGACCCAAGTTTCAGGGAATCCCCATATAACGGTAGCCCCATGAATTGAGTATTTTTTGGAATTTTGAACACGTTTCCAACCAACTTGGCTGTAATTTTGTATTTTGGGTTCTGTTGTATAGAGTAACTTCGGGTAATGTGGACTATGCGTCTAATGTGGACCACCCCCATATTTCAGAAACTGCTTAAAATATATCAATGCCGCCTAGATAAATGTTTTCCTAATTAGTGAAAACAAACATCAAACTTGGTTTTTAATAAATAATTGCATTTTTGAAAATGTAGTTAAACTCTGATTTGAAGTTATATGGTTTTCTTGTTTTCTTTATCAAAATTATACGTTTAACTGTAATTACAATCGGTGATTTTTAATTTTTATTCATTTTTGATGCCGATAATTATTTTTATATAAAAATATTCAATGTCGGGTAATGTGGGCCACTATAAAAAAGTGGACCTTTCCATGAGGAAACATGGGCGCATTTAATATGCGAGGAGGTATTCTATCGTCTTAAAACTCGATATATGAAATTATAGCTGCTTCGGTTGGATAATAAAACTAAGACCTTCAAAATACCGTAAATGGGGCGGTACCCTTAAATGGGGGCTATTCCAAACGATGAACCCATATATTTTTGCATTCACTGTTACCCAAGGGTGCAATAAATTGAAATTTACCACATTACCCACACATACTGGTCCACATTACCCGCCAAGTTATTTTTATTCGCAGTTTTGAGTTTTGTGAAATATAATGCAATAAAATTTTTATAGACAAATATATATATATATATATATATATATATGACCTGACATTTTTCAATCAAATTGGCTGAAGTTTGGTATTTTGCATTCTCATTGGCTGTCAAATTTCACCAACAAAAAATATCAATATTGATGTCCGGTTTATTATAGCCCCATAAAACGGTAGCCCTAATATTAGACCATATCATGTTCATATTTTTTCACGTATTTTTCGGTTTGTCGAAGGTGCTATAATAACATGAATTTTCTCCTAGGAGCCCCCATTAATTTTACATATTTTGATTGACATCCTTATGATGGAGGATATCGTTTCTGAATTTTGCATACTCCAGATGTTATTTTTAAGAAAATACATATGACACCCTAAATACGATTGATTCATAACTCCGAACTGTATAATCGACAGATGGACGAACATACATAATTAGACCGATTCAATTAGAAAAATGACGAACGGAAAACTAAAAGGTGGGTCTGAGGTCAACATTTTGTTGTGTTACAAATTATTGGGCTACATAAACTCATTTCATTCACAACTCGATAACACACTCTTCATAATTATGGCATGGACAATTATATAGATGTTTTTAAAAAATATATTTAAATGTCATTATGCAATTGCAAACTTATCAGTGTTTGTTTTGTTTTGTTGGAATTTGGCACTGGCGCCTTGATTTCCTTTAAAGAGGTTCAAGAGGTTCAGTTTATGAAAACGTCACCGGTATTATATAATATGTCTTTTTAACGCTATCGAAAAGTACTTCCAATTTCAATTTAAGATTGAAAGCCTAGGAAATTATTCTGTAATGAAGGTATAACCTCTAACTAAATGTGATTCAACCAGTTTAAGCTTTTTAACAATATTTTTATTTTAAATACTGAAGAGCAATCAGTTCCTAATTGGATATTCAAAATTGTATTAAGGCAAATATTGTACACGTTTGTTAATCTGAAAATTGAATACTGTTAGTATCACAAACAGTTATACAAATAACACTGACAACTGTCAAATGACTGGATTAAAAGGGTGAAGCACATTTTGGCAGACATAAAATCAAAGCAAAAAAAATGAATTACAAAAATAATAATAAAAAATTAAAACAATAAACAAAAAAAACGAATATTTAAAAACACAAATAAATACAAACAGACAAAAAGGAATAACAGAACAGATGAAATTCTTTTAAATAGCTTACCCTGGGCACAGTTATATTTATCAGTCCCCAACAGATTTTTTTCAGTCCCCATGGAATCTAATCATGTCATTTTGAAGACAGGACAGTGTTGGAAAATTTTTGGTTTGCGCGATGGTAGTGGTGTTGGTTGGGTGTTGATGATTATGGTGGTGGTTGTGTTTGTGGTCGCGATGTGTAATAATTTTGGTGCCAAGTACATTTCGATGGATTTGAATGTCGATTGTGTTTGTGTGTATGTTCGGACAGGTTGTGTTGTGTACATGCGAGTGTTTGTGAGAACGAAAAAAGACGAATATTAGATAAATCCGTTTATTTGTTGGTTATTGGTGGTTAACATTCAAACGGATTTCCATTGGATTGCAAATTACGATTTGGGCCAGGAATGGTTATGGAATATCATTTTGAACATTGACATGGGGTCAGGTTGTGGGTGACAACACAATGAAAGGAATGGTGCAGGGGTTTTTGTTTTGTCATCATTGAATTGTGTGCGACCGACGTATCGATCGATCACAAACACAGGCACATTCGCACCCACACACACAGCACCGAATTCATAAAGTGCCGTGTTGTTGTTATGTTGACAAATAAATTATTCGATTTAATGAATAAACATTGGTTTGTCGTTTTGTTTTGTTTGGTTTTCGTTTTTATTTTTTGTTCGATTTAAAATATAATTATTATTTGTTTGGCGAATTTGTTTGTTGTTTGTGTATTGTTCATTTCATTTGTTGTTGTATATTTTGGTTTTTAAATTTAATTTCAATTTGTTGTGTTTGGAAAACGAAACAAAAACACATAGTCAAATCAAACAAAATAACAATTTAGGAAAATCGTAATGGGAGAAGAATAACTCAATCAGTGGGGGATTTTTAGAATTTTCAGGGGGTAATATTCGATGGAATGAGTACAAAATTAATATTATTGATAGGCGAAATAGGTGCAAGTATAAAAAAACCAATAATATTTGAAGTATTTGAAAAGAGAGAAGTTAAAAGTAGAGAATAGAAGAAGAAGAAGAAGAAGAAAAGGAAGAGAAAAACAGTTTATTTAAAACAAATAAAATAAATTATCAAAATTATTATTTTTTATAGAATATATCATTTATCTCTAAATGGTCTAGAATGGAATGACAATATTCGAAGGAGTGACAATTCGACATAGAGGACTAAAACGGGCTAGAGATAATGAATTCACTGTACGGCGAATATGTCCAAATAGGGTTTTTCAAATGGGTCTACTTAATGACTAACTGTATGACTTCATACCTTGTAGATTACCAGCCAGTTCACTTTTATTTTTACATCATTGTATTGAAATATGATAACTTAATTCGACTATTTGTTTCACATATATACATAATAATTTACATAACTTTACAAAACTATAAGGAGCAACCATTTGAAGCTCATTTAGAATAAATAAGCTCAATTTACAAATCTGTCTCAATGGATTTTTAATATATGCTACTAAATGATTATTATACGCACTACAGCTAGTTATTTACAGTAAAATATTGTTTCAATAATTCAATTCGTTTTTGAAGTTTTATAATAATATACACAAAAATTTACAATATATAAAACTAAAATAATTTCATAAGTTAATAATAATAGGGCATATTTTAAAATATTCAACATTTTATGAAGAAAATGTTAATGATACATTCTAAATATATATGATTACAAATGCGTTATAAGCCATACCTTTGGCTGCATTAAAATAATCATTCGAAATACAAGATCCAAATTTAAAAGTGAATAAGTACCTAAAAAATGAAAAAGTTCCCAAATATTTATACCCTTCACCACACTGTGGTACAGGGTATTATGTCTTTGTGCATATGTTTGTAACAGGCAAAAATAATCGAGATAGACCCATGGTTCCTTTTGAGAATATGCATAGAATCACTTTCTGAGTCGATATAGTTTTGTCCGATTTTATGTAAATGTGCACCATAGTTCCTATATATATCTCGATTTGCACGAAATTTGGCATAAAGTACTGAATTCACCCTAAAATGATGTGTGTTAAGTTTCGAGAAAATCGGGTCAGATCTAGATATAGGTCACAAATATATTTTTGTCCCATATAAGCACAAAGTCCTATATATATCTTTCGATTTGCACGACATTTGGCATAGGGTACTGAATTAGGTATAGAATGATATGTGTTAAGTTTCGTGGAAATCGGTTCAGATTTAGATATAGCTCCCATATATATTTTCGTCCGATTTTATGTAAATGGAGTACCAAAGCCCCTATATATCTTTTGATTTCACGAAACTTGCATGGTGTACTAAGTTAAGTCTAGAATGATGATTGATGATGAACCTGAAAATCGGTTCAGATTTTAATATAGCTAACGTATATATTTTCATCCGATTTATTTACATTAAATGTTGCACCTAAATCCCTATATATCTTTCGATTTCCACCATGTTTGGCATAGCCTACTAAATTGAGTCTAGAATGAGGTGTGTTAAGTTTCGAGAATATCGGTTCAGATTTAGACAAGTTTGTCCTATTGACACGAAATTTTGCACAACGTACCAAATATATTTCGAACGGGTGTCTGATTGAGATTATATTTTTAACAGTGCGGCATACTGAGTCGCGTGTATCATGTTTGCTATAAATCGATTTCCTTAAATCTGATTAAATTTAGCATAAATTGACATCACATGAAATTGTTAGGATACATATATACAATATACATATAGTGGTGAAGGGTATCATATATTCGGCCCAGTCCGACTTTGCTACTTTCCTTGCTGGTTTTTTATATAAAACTTGGGAAGTCATTTAATTTTTAGTTTGGGGATTGCTAACCCAGGCTTTGATTGCCTGATCGAAAGGTATCTAAGGATTGAATAAGTGTTTCAGTACCGACATTATCCCTCGATATCAATTCATACATCTAAAGTAAGTAGTTTCTAATCGAAGGTGCTTTCAATTTGGCGTACCACTTCGTGCAAAGCTGTTTCCACTGATCATTGGGGTTGTTCCTCTTAATCATTGTATCGACTGTCCGTTCCATAATTTTGAGTAAGAATGAAGTTACTTTTATTGGCCGATAGGATTTTGATGTTTACTTGCCGGGCTTTGGTATGACGGTATAGACGGAAATACCGAACACATCCTCTATAGTTAAGGACTCCCTATGGGTGTGCCGAAATTTCGATATGGTCTATCCAATGCTAATTTTAGGACCGAACACCTCTTCTATAGTTAAGAACCCATAGCGATTGTAGTGGTGAAAATTCGAATTACTTTATATAATTTCAATATTAGGACTTCATTAATTTATGAACATTTTCTAAAAGGTAACGTTCCGAATAGAAATAGATTCTTCAAAAAATTGTTAATGGCAAGATCATGATCACGATGATTATAAATTCGGTCAGCTGAGGATGTCTGATACACAATAGGAAGAATCCTGGTCAATTTGGCCATAGTTTTTGCACCGTAAGCTCATTAAGCTAACTCGAAAGAGAAATAATATGCGTAATAGGTCATCGACAACACCGAAAAAAGAAATGTTTGATACGGTTTGCAATCCTGCGGTGTCATTGGGCCATGCCCTTCACCAACGAAGCCAATCGTCACGTTTGCAGCAACGTGTTTTCACCCGCCAAGAATCCTCAATGGTAAATAAATCACTTTGGACCACACCAAAACTTGGTAAATCCCAAATTACAGACCTTTCGCGGTATTATACGAAAGTGCAAAACTTCAAAGCTCTGCCTTTATGAACACGTACCTCATACAAGAACAAAAAATATACTCCATTAAAACGCTGCACGTCGTTGGTTATGATTGAATTTTTTCTGCATTTTTTCCACAGCCGACAAGTATCATTAAATGCTCTGAGGTTTAAAAAATACCTTGACATATATATGACTTTGGAACTTTTTTTATGCTTGTTACAACAGACTTTGTCTCGTCTAAATAAATTGCTTTGTCTATTTCAGTCTGTTGGAGACAATTCAATCTTCATTTCAAATACGAGGGCAACCAGTTTTGGCGTTTGGCGTCAATTATCAATGGTGATTTAGATATGTCCATGAAAATATCAAATTCGTGTAATTCTTTTAAGAATACGTTTATTTTAATCTCACCTAAAAGGAATGGATCTGAGAATTGAAATACAAATTATTGTGCTAATATACACGTTGAAATGAGTTCATAAATACTAAAGGTCACATTAATCCTGCTCATTTTGGACTTTACTGCAACGGTTGTTACAAATCTACTCAACACTTGTTCCTTTAGTTTCCACAATTGTTGCTGTTGTTCCACTGGTTGTTGTTGTTGTTTTCATCTTAGCCACAAAACAAACAAAAAACTAAATGAATTTATGCCATGTGTGGCAGTGAACTAAAAGCACGTTCCTACAACTTCACTAGGGCTCTCGGGTTTCCCCTTTTGAAAAATAAGAGCGCGGACAAAACGTTGTAAAAGCTGGAAATATAAAATTAACGATTTGTGTGTTCCTAGAGTAGCAAACGGGTTTCAACTTCATATAAGAAATTTACTTTATACAGTAATAAAAGTAGTTTGATTATTTAATATTTCAAAAAGGTCAAAAGCACTCACGTTGTAGTTCTGTTGTAATACGCATTCACCCCTCGCCCACTATAAAAATCTTAGACATCCTACCCACAACGAGACTTTATCATAACACCAAAGAAATTTCTTTCTTTCCGACATTATTGTGAGTCTTGTTTCAGTTTGTGGCAATAAATTCCATGTGATGGAAATGCATGCTGGCGAGGAGGTTGAAACGTTGTTCCGCCTTGGCCAACAGCCATCAGTTGCCAGCATATGGCAAATGTGAAGCTTGCACTTTTCACACATTCTCAAGATGGCTTAAGACATCTACTTCATCCATGTGAACACACACGCACATACATTTATACATATTCTCACACCCAATGCCATACGTTAATGTTTATGTGCATGTAACACACACACACACTCTTATATATGTAGAGGGATAAGTGTTAATATACACAATTGTACCACAATTTCCTTTGTGTTTATTTTCATTACGTA